AGTAAAATTATGATGGGGCAGAACAATAAAAGAAAAAAAGAAGAAAAAAAAAACCCACAAAAAACCCCACAAACAGGTCCTCCTTCAAATTCTGGCAAGCAGATCCTATGAGGGAAATATATTGAACTGAAATTAAAATCTTGTTCATCTCAAGTATGATTTCCTCTGAAGTCCCCTTTTTCAGCACGGGTGTGGGAAGTGGTTGGGTTTGTAGCACACAGCCAAAGCAATGAACTGAACACAAGCGTTCTGCCACCTCAGGAGAAGGGAATTTAAACATGCATACTTCTAGGACAACTTCTTGACAAACTTTTTCATTATTTATATTTTTTAATCTTTCAGTACTAATACTGAAATATCAGTACACACCCATGTGATAACACATTTAACTTTCTCATTATTTTTCAGTAAGCAATAATTGCAGGAGCTCTGGTTAAAAGGAAACTCAATAATTACACTGATTACTTGGTGCATTTGAAGAGACCGGAGCTGTAGCAGACTATCATATTGTGACAGGAGTTTTTAGATCTTCCAATTATGGTCAGAATTCACAAAAGGAAATAATGGATTTCCAGATTGTTGACAGAGATAAGCAGTTTGATATAAAATAAAAAATATTTTAATTCATTAGGATATATTGCAAAAAAAAAAAATCAAAATCTATAGTCCTATAAAGAATTTTAATAAATGGGTACAAGCTGAATAAAAGGGAAAGTAATGACTTGGTCAAACCTCAGAGGGAAGCAATGCCAAAGTCATGCACCGCAAATAAAGAACGTATAGACAGATCTGACATATGGGCCATTTCTTTAGAGAAAGCCTCTGTTTGGAGTGCAAGTCATTCTAGCTAATGGATAAGTAATGTTCACTGACAATCACATTAGCCCTTTTTGCTATTTTAGTCAAATAAGGCTAATCATTTAGCATGCCTAATTTATATAGCTATGAGGGTGGGTTATCAGTACAGATGTACTGAAGCATAAAAGACTTGGGAACACTGACCTATCTGTCAAATTTGATCAAGCCCAATGAAATTCAATTTGTTAATCTTGCTTCACAATCCTACCCTCATGCACTCTAAACACTAATACATTTTGAATTGCACCGAGATGCACAGTCTACAGTGAGACTTTTTATTTGGATTAATCAGAATCGTGTATGAGCTATGTTAACAGTTGGAGTAAGGGACATGACTTTTAAAATTAGAAGGCTAAAAGTAGGACTGCAAATCTGTAAATATTTGTAATATGTATTTGCATGCCCAGTTCTTACCTTAAAGGACAAGACCACAATCTAATGTTTTAATAACAACTACAATTAATAAAAGAAATCAAGACTGTCTTCTCATTAAACAGAGAGAATGCTGGTTTTGCATGTGTATATATAAACACGTACTCAAGCTTCAAAAATTAGCCAATGCAAATTACACATCTCTGGACCTCTCACTTCTCTAAAATAGCGATTAATGCTCATTTTGTACCTAAAGCTAAGGTTTCTAAGGCCAAGAGAAGAGCATAGCTCTCCTAATACCCACTCAGGCCTCATTCCAAAGGAAACGTCTTTTTTATCAGCTACATAAGTTTCCAACAGTCATGAAGTTTAGCCTTAGCCTTTGAATCTAGCGCTACCTAGAGATACACGGAATCTGGATACAGTGAACTGAAATAGCACAAGCTCTGAACAGTTGATTTTTTGCTGTTTCCAGTCTACTCTAAGAGCAGCTACATTTGCACAGATGATTTGTCCAATATTTGCATAATATGGTATATATAAATCTGCAGTTAGAAGACTCTCAGTCCTGGTTTGTTTCATGACAGTCCTCCAGTCCTCCTTCTGAAGGAGTTTCCTACCTTATTTGTTCTCTCGCCATACAGGACAAGAGAACGTTCCTGTTTTCCAGTCCCTGCCCAAACTGCATACAGAAGCTTACTGGATTGAATTAGAGAAAATCAAACTTGAATAATTACTATGTTCCTCAATTTGAGACAAATTGGGATAATAACTGTATCCAAGTATAGGCTCCAGCAGATATATTTGGTCCTTCAATCATACCAGAATATTCAAGAAACAGTTCTGGAACACATAGAACATTAGCTAGAGGAGAATGACCAGAACAGACTTAATTCAACCTGTCTTAAAACATCTTATCTATTTTTAGTAATGGAAAATAATAAATAAATAAATAAATAAATAAGGCAAAAACCCTTCCCACCCAAGTGAGCTTTTACTTTATGTTATAACTAAAAATAAATAAAGGAATAAAGCAATATGGTTTTTTATTGGTACAGGTAGATTTAATTCTGAAATCATATGGGAAGTATTCAATTAACATTGATGAGACTTGACAGATGCATTGTCTGGGAAATATCTTTGTTCTTTTCCCATTAGATATCTTTATATAAGCCTGTTTTCCATATTATACTGAGTATCAGTGGCCATTAGACTAAAAATGTAAGTACTGTGAAGTCATAAAGTCAACTCTCTTGAAGAGGTTGCCAATTTGCTCATGACCTATCCATGCACTGTGGAAACAAACTCTACATACCACTAGCATGCCTGAACCTTTTTGTTTTAGAGCTTGGGCACCAACACCACTACAAAACAGCTGTGAATGGGATGTGCAATCTGCTGATTCACACAGAATATTTCTTCCATCGTTTGCTTTGCTTCTCTGTATCACTGTCTCCACCATCACAGCAACTAAGTGAGGGGGGTAAAAGCGATGTTGTTTGGAAGCCTGGAACAATTTAATTCTATTCCTTATTTGTCAAGATTAAGCCCTAAAATGTTATGGGCACAAACAATCTGAAAAAGGAGTGGGGAAAAGGAAGAGAATATTAAAAACAAAAAAAAATCAAACCTGGCTTCCAACCTCAATTATTTTTCTAGCATGAAACTAGAAGAAATATGTGATTTTCTTAGGCAGTCATATATTGCCATTTAATCAGTTATGCCACATACTACAAGGCTATCTTCCCATACCATGGAAAAATTACCCAACACTAAACACCTATTGTCTTACCCAGAACTAGCCTCACAACAACCATTTTTCAGAGCTGCTATTCATGGAAATGCTACTGAGTAGCAATGTTATCCTCTCAGCGGAAAAACCATACAGCCTGTAAGTCTGCAAAACTTTTTTGAAGGGAATATGAAATGCCATCTTCAAGTAAAACTGAATTTTTTTCTAAACAAAATATAGCACTGCTCAGATAAGCAAGGCAATAGACCTGTTTGTTGAATACCTGGTCTTTTACTGCTCATAAGAGAAGTATTTGAGAGGACAATTTGAGACAGGTTGGAAGCACAATCTATTAACAGAAAAGATTGAAGCAGATGAAATCCTATGGAATGACAAACCTGAAAATCCTCAAAATCATGACAAGTTTTCTAACTCTTTCCTTCAAATGAAAATGTACCACAAAGCTCTGACAACTCCTGGAACAAAATAAGTGTTCCATAGGATAATTAAAGGAACACGGGCTTCTATGTTACTTTGTCTCTTTCATAGCACTAGCCAGGATCATAACCCAAGGTTTGCAATGGCTAAGAAATTATTTCAGTTCCCTAGTTTATGAATTATGGTTTGGGACTTGCTTTTCTTGTTCCCTCTTTACATATCTAAGGGAAGTCCAATGCTTCCCTGACTATCTGTTTACGTGTTTTGTAAGAGGTGGAAAAGTAAAATCCCAATCAACTTCTGTGGGTCGAAATCTTGTTTGAATAAAGTTTTGCATTCAGAAAAAGAAGGGAGAAGGAAACACATATCTAAATTTTCCTATTTGCCTTGAACTTGTTCCATTGGTGTGAAGAGTTATTTGTGGAGTTATATCTGTCACATATTCACATTTACATTTCTGTATGTCTTAGCAGGCTGTTAAAGCTTGCACATTTAGAATAAAGTGAAGACTCATATGTGAGATGAGATGAGGGGAAAAAAAAAATCTAGAGATTCTTTAAACCAAAAATCCTGGATAATGACTTCCTGCCTAATCATGGCTAGTCTGATGGTAATATTTGAAGCTCCACATTAGTCTCTGGATAGAAAGCTTTACTAGAAGAGCAGGAAGAAGTACAACTGCAGCAAGAAGAGGCTGATGTCATCTTCTTCATCGTTGGGGCGGGGGGCAGGAAGAAGGCACAGCATGGGTGTCACTATTTAAATTTATAAAGCTTTAGTGAATGCTTTCGCATTGTGCACAAGTGAGATCATGGCCCTACCCAGATACTTCTTTTAGGAGCTCATACTGAATGGTGTGTGAGCACAAACCCCAAGGCTACTGAGTCCTAACCACAGAAATTAACTTCTGTTCTTGGATACTGTAATGTTGAGAGAAAATTTTTTTAATTGCCTTACCATGAGAGCACCAAAAGACAGCAAATGCTGTCTTGCATCATAGGCCTTTCCAGTGGATAGCTGTGTAAAAAGAAATTCATACCTCCACTCCTGGATATAAATGTCAACAAAAAGATGTGCACTCTAACTCACTAGGCCGTGAAGGTAATTAATAGCTAAGCTATTTTAAATATATACATAATAAAGAAAATTATGTATATTTTTATATATACACATATTTATGTATGTCTACATATGTGTGTAAAATACAGATATATACTATCCAGCTAACTGGAAGCCTTGGTGAAAACTTTTTTCAAAGACACACTGAAATAAAAAACTAACACATACAATATGGAATGCTACCACATGAATTAGGATGTGTTTAAGTTACCATATAGCATTAGAGAAAAGTAAATCTCTCTTACTTCAATATTCACGTCTGAGGTGGAATTGCAGGTTTTCTTCCTTTATTTTACTTTAAATTTTCTTCACATAACTGTTGAACCAGAGAAATCTGTGTGCCACAGAGAACTTGACAAATTGAGAATAATAATTAAAAAGTAAAAAAAAAAAAACCCCACCAGGAAAATTGCAGGAGGGAAAAAGACAAACACAGTTAAATCTCAAAATAGTTTGGTGTAAAAATAAAGCATTATTATACCTGCAATGATGTCATCCATCTGCTCCAAAGCTGCCTCCAGCATATGACTAGCATCAGAAGCCATCATCTATGATTTCTTCAGACGTTTACTCTTTCTACTGAAAAGACAGATGAAACCATGTGTATTACACTAAACCAGACCTGATAGAAAAATGTATGTCACCGTTACATCATAAATTAATTAAGCCACACAAGCAAAAATCCACACAAGCAAAAATACAGCCTAGTGATATGAAAACAAAAAAAATTTTCTATTCTTGATAGATGATTTGCGATTTCTAAGGTTTTCATTCGTTGTTGATTTTTATTTATTTTCTTTTTAAAGAGATTTTACTAAAACAAGGAAATGCAGATGGAAACAAAACCAAACAATCTCAAATACTGGAAGCTTGAGATTCCCCTACCCCTCATCCCTAACAACGGTTTCCTAGATTCAAAGTTCAGTGCATTTCAACCTTCTGCACTGTGGGGAAAAAGAGGATTGACTAAGTTTCAATGAAGGAATGAACACAGGGTGAACAACATGCTTAACCTATAAGCAGAACTCTGTAGGAGCTCTGCTTTTTGATTGCTGCCTTAAGAGTAAAGACAGTTCTGAAATAATTTTTATTCCTCCTTTCTATATCCCCATTCAACCTTTCTACCTCTTCTTTCATGACACTGAAAATACAGTTCTTTCTGTTCCAATAACCAAAATGCCCCCAAGTATGAAGTTTCTGCTGCCTCTTTAACACAGGATTAGACATTCATGTTACCATCTGACATTAAGGATAACAAACAAAATGTTCCAAAATTAGTCTCTACTTGTGAGTTGGTGTTGCTGGACTCTTAGTCAAGTAGCAGTCACTATTGTCAACAGATGACATTTCAAAGGGGAAAAGAATTTACGCGGTCCATTTCACTGCCAGTGAGAAAATTCTCTCTGAAATAAGGCCCTTTTGCACATCACTTCATCGCTGAAGTATGAAACCAGTGCCCACACAGTGATGAACAGGGATCGTACTTACACATAATTTTTGCAGTGCTCTTACACACAACTCAAAATACTGACAAAGCATTTAAAGGGTCATAGAATTTTGATTTCTCTTCCATGAAGGGTGCAATTCAGTCCTTTGACATTCAATCTTCTGATACAGCAAGTTTTTAAATCTGTGATTCAAAACTGTTCAATTTTGACAGCTTTCTAAGCATCACAAAAGACAACTGTCTGACAATGGCTAGAGGTATCCTTCAAATGACGCAGGTTGTAGACAAGTGTATAGGCAATGGTCATATGTTTGTTGTGGCAAATTATTCCAATGCCACTGAAATTACACTAATCTGTATTTATCATGTGATTACCTATGCTAAGAATTCAATTATTTTGAATTTAAATAAATATTACAATAATCTCCAATGGCAATTCACATAGATGAAAATATTTTTGTACTGTGTTCATCCAGTGACAGTTCAGACACCGGCCACCATGACCAACTGCATGACTGGTAGCTAAACCAACCACATTTACTTTCTCAGTTGGAGCCTGCCTAAACACTAGAATGTAGAATCAGCAGCCAGAGGATAAAGTCAGCTATAAAATAAAAGCTGACCCATTTTATGTCTCAGACGGACCGTCGGGGGGAAAAAAAAAAAAAAATCCCTAAAAGTACACTTAAGTCTGACTCCAAATTACTGCATCATAAGAAACATTCAATCTCAGTAATAAGTGCAGTACAATGGAAAATTTTTACTAACGAGTCAAAATTATTTCCTTCCCTTCCAAACCAAGACTCCCAAGATGCAGGCTTTTCTCCATGGTGCTGGTGAAATATACACAAAGAAAGCTAATTTATTAATAACCTCTGTGTTATCAGTAAGGTGTGTGTCCTATGTCCATTCCAGTCAATGTATACAACACCACTATCTAGAGGGAGAGATGCAAGAATAAGAGTCAGAAACTACTATGTTCTAATTTGAGCTCTGCCATTTATAGCTTGTCATAATGGGTAAGCCATTATTTAACTTCAGATCAAATTGATCTGAAGAGCAATATGAGAATGCCTTATCAGAAAACGGAAGAAAAATCTTTAGTGTCACGCAAGGCAAAGATTAATGGTTGGTTTTGGTCTCTCCATTTTTGTCAAAATAATAATTTAAGTATGAACAATGCTAAATGTAACAATTTCACCAAAATGCATCTGACCCAAATATTTCATTTAATGGTATTGGAAATAACACAAATTATGCTCAGAATAATCTGGGAAGTCATTAAGTCAGCTCATATAAACTTAAAATTTCAGAATGCTTGCACATGTGAACTTTACAGACACTCCCTCTGATTCTGTTGATTCAATTTGTTGGTTTTGATAGATTTCCATCTTCTGTTGTCACATTTACTTGCCAGTAGCTTTGTAGGTTCACTGAAAACTTTAGAAATACCCGATTCTCAACTGCAATGAGCCTCCTTCCTTGCAATATTTGCCCTAGTTCAAAGCAACCCTAACATCGGTAATAACCACCTCAGTGAAAGGAAATCCACCTACAGTAAGCAGCTGCCAAAGAGGCAACTAGGCTACCTTGCTCCTTTGGCAGATGTGGCCACCAGCCACTCCCCCAGAAATCTATGGCCACCAGCTGTGTTGGTAAATCAGGACAGCAGACTGGCTCAAAATTAGAAGGGAGAAAAAGAGTGAAAAATACTAAAAATAGCATAGAGTTTCTATTGCTAGATCACACTGCATGCTCTATTTGTGCTGTAAGCTACTGCTCCGCATGCTTAAAGCAGCTAGAGCAATACACAGTTGTTATTAACAAGAAATGCAGGACTACTATTTCTTCTAAACATCAAATATAGTATTTGACCATCTGTAGTGAAAAAGGTACAGGAAATGCTGATACATTACAAACTTGAAATTTTACTTATAGAAAAACCTTCAATCAAGACCTTGGCACAGACCAGAAAGTTTTGCTGAAAAATACCAGCAGAACTAAGTCTTCTATCTCCTCCCAGCCTCCACACTCTGCCTGTTTTCTCACCTGTATTCACAGTGTATTTGCTCCTTAACCACATTAAGCTAGAGTAAGACCTGCCGATCAAACAACGATTTATTAATAAAAGCAAGGTTCTTTGCTCCAGAGCAATAATGTAATATTACTTGCTTGACATCTTTTTCTAGATAGACCTGTTGCTTGTGCTTCAGGCAAGTCTTACTTTCCCAGACACTCCCTTCTTACAGTTTGACTGTTCTGAGCTATTATGACAATAGCTTGTTAGATTTCCTATGCTTTCAGTTACCATTTCTGATCTAGTTCTACAGAAATACCTGCAATTGGGGATACTTTTTTTATTAGTATTAACTAACAAGACACCTGTATCAATCTGAAGGCATGCTGAGTGCCTCAAACAGGATCCATCTATTTGCTGGTATTTTAATTGCAATTCCTTTTACAGTTTTCATTCCTGAATGACATCAACAGATGCAGAACACCATGACTTACCTACCTATATAAAAATATACATATATTTTGAAAAATAAGTTTTTTTCAGCTTTGGTAAGGACCGAACAAAAACTATCTCTAACATTACAGTACAAGCTTTAATATTAGCAAACTCTAACCTTCAGCATTTATTAGATTAATTTATATACCAGCAAAATACAAGAACCAATCTACTCACCTTTTCAGGTCCCTAAGAAGAAAAGAATTTACTTTTTTGCCTGATCAGTAAAAATTGCTCACTATTAATAGCCAAAGTTCTACTGTTAAGCAGACGTAAGTCTAAATTATTATCATCCCTTCTAAGCCGCATGCTCATACTAATTTAGAGCCCAGCCCACAGATAAAGATATTGCAACCCTGTTTGTTGTAATTACCTAAGTAATAAGATCTTCCAGGAAGTGCAGACAGAGCAAACTGGTCTGAATGCCCTAAATTTATTTTGCTAAGCTAGCTTTACCCTATAAATCCCAATCTGAGATTTGCATTTCAAATAAAATGAAAAATCTCTGGTAGAACATTGTGCTTAAAGTCAATATCCCTTGCAAATTTCTTAACCTACTTTCTGTATGTAAAACTATAGCTTACTGTGTCCAAAAAGAACATAATATTTAGCAGACGTATTCACTGTGAGCAAGATGTTCTTCAGAATTATGAAAAGCCTTAATTAAATTTGAATCTTTCATGGCTGCCTTGAACCAGCAGCTGTCCAGAGATAAGAATGTGAACATTTAGGCAACTCGTAAGTCAGATGTTTTTCCAAGGTTGCTCCTAACAATGAGGTCGCCAACTTTATCAGTTATGGAGAGGGGTGTGGTTTTTGACAAGAACTCTTGAAATCCAGATCTCGCCTTAATATCAATACTTTGGGTGACCTACAAATTCCTCTTACATTTAGAAGACACAGCTCGTAATTAACTACCACCACCTTTTTTTCCTGGGATGAATACATAGATGTTCGTAAACTGTTTAAAGATTCAAATTCAAGTATCACATTGCTTTGTACTTAATGGTATAATGAAATATCAAGTGGCTTGGGTAAGCTTCAGAAGTCCTCCACGCTTTTTTCAGCTGCAAGATGACTCCTGAGCTGGAATGAAGAAATGTGCACAATTTCCACCCCCACCATTTCCCACCTTGCTTCTCTCCCAGCCACATGCTGTATTGTATCCAGTCACCCCACAGGAACACAACTGCTGATTCATCTCTCCAACCTGGCTCAGTAGTTCTCAGGACACCATCAAATACAAAAGTTATAAATACATATTTGGATCCTGGCCTTTTAGAACCTGGCATCCTCTCTAATTAAAGTTAATCCTTAGTCCTAAATAACCATGCACAGCTGCTGAGAACAGAAGAATTCTGATGATCACTAGAACGACTGCCCAAGGAACACTACTTATACAGCATCCTCCAGGACTATCCAGCCAGAAATCCTGTTCATCTGATTATAGCTTAAATTTAATTTATTTGTTAATACAGACACTACTTGCTCTATTTCCCCTTCTGATGCTTCATCGGAATAGGCAGACGGGTAAACAGAACCCTTCCTTCTTCGATTACCCTTTATGTAATAAATAAAAACAAGACTATATAGGGTTTTTTAAGAATAACTCGAATGGGA